TTGGTCTCTTCCTTGGCAAACTCGACTTTAAGAAGTCTCTGGCCGTTTGTTTTGACCAAGTTGACTTCACACTGGGCTCTCTTCCCTATTGCAATAGCTGCCAGTATTACTGAATAAAAATTTACTCCCACTTCTTTAACCAGATTTATTTGTCTTTGACCAGACCAAGCCCAGAGATTCTGTTTCAGTGGATCTAAGGTGAGGCATAGGTATCAGGACTTTATAAAACCTCCAAAGAAGAGTCTTGCAAGTAACTGCTCTCCAACAGTGGTTCTCAAAGTGGGGTCTCTGGGTCAATGGTATTATCATCACCTGGGAACGTGTTAGGAAGGCAAACGCTAAGTCCTCAAGGGGTTCAGAAGGAGCCTTCCCCAAACCTGCCACATAGGCATGTGCATTATTGTGAGCTGAGGCAATCAAGACCAGCAGACTAAAAATTTTTACTTCTCCCTTAATCGCCCAAAAGAATTTAGATGAGGGCCTGGCCCCCAAAAGAGAGCTATGCCCAGAGATAACCATAAAGAGTGTGGGCCAGGTAATGGGTAGCCTGGGGGAGCTTGGCAGCACCGGAAGGTAAAAATCCTCTCAGTGCCCTACTGTCCCTGCAAATGTTTGCTCTTCCCAGTTCTTGAAAATTATCTTTCTCTGCATTGAAGTCTCAGACTCCTACTCTCTTCTCCTTGGCTCAGGATGGCACATAAGCCTCAATTGCCTGACTACCTGTGGGTCTCCCATTCTTACGGAGGCTCCATATGTATGTAGTTAATTTCTCTCCCCTGTGAACCTGCTTGTATCAATTTAATTTTTAGACCAGCCATGCTCCAAACCTACTGAATGTGAGGCTGTGGGGGGAGGCCCAGCAGTTTGTGTTTCAACAACAGCTCGTGGTGATTCTGATGGACTAAAGTTGGAGCACTCTTGCTGTAGGGGGTTTAATTTGCTCCACGAACTATAATTAGGACTTGGTTAGTTAACTGTGACTGGGAGCCTTGCTATGTCCATAAACATTAACCTGAAGAATGTGTCAGCAAAATTTCCTGCTTCTTTCCTTCCTTCTCCTTTTTCCCCATTGTTTTCTCTAAAATGAGAGTTAGAAGGATCTTGGTTCACCAACACTCTTGGAAACCTTCATTATTATTATTATTATTATTTTAATCCTCACCTGAAGATCTTTTTCCATTGATTTTTAGAGAGAGTGGAAGGAGAGGGAGAAACAGAGAGAGAGAAACATCAATGTAAGAGAGACACATGGATTGGTTGCCAGACACATGGATTGGTTGCCTCCCATACATGCCCAAACCAGGAATCAAGCCTGCAACCAAGGGACATGCCCTTGACCAGAATCAAATCCAGACCCTTTAGTCCTCTGGCAAACCAACTAGGGCTAATAATGGAAGTAATAACAATTTCTAAATGACAATGACAAAATTTACCATTGAAAAGGGTGAGTAGAATGTAGAGCTCATAAAATGGATTCTCATCCTCCTCCCTTTAAAAATTGCTATATATCCTAAAATGTGCCTTTTGGCTAACATTTTTATAACTGAATATATGTGTTTCAGAGAGAAGACTAGGAGAGAAAAATGATGATGTTTTTATGTGGTAGGTATTTATATATTGCTGCTTCTTTCTACTTTTATAGTTAAAGATTAAGTATGTCTGATTCTAGGATATATAGTGCCAGGCCTTTGTGAGATTCTTCCTTCTCACTACCAGAGAGGAGGAGGCACGGAGGGCCGCTGACAATCATTCCTTCCTGTTGGAGGAGAGAAGGTCCTTGAGAGAGGGAAGAGGACATTATTTTCTGCTCTAGCCAGTGACAGACAGTTATGGCTCTTTTAATCGCTTTATCTCATTTGCAAATGGAAAAACACATTCCACAGAAAGAATTCTCTGATTCTGGAAACACTTGTTTCAGAAAAAAAAATGCTATGGGAAAGCTTTATTTTGGGCTTTATAGTCTCTTGTTTTTCTAAGTTAAATAGCATTGCAAAATACAGGATATGGTAAGTGAAAAAAATGTACACGAGATGAGAGAGAGAGAGAGAGAGAGAGAGAGAGAGATCTTTCAAAGCAGAGATGATAGGCCTTAATTTTAGAAACAAATACATTTTGCCAAGAGATCTCTTTGTATTTCTTACATTATGATTTTTATTCTGTAAACATGTACTAGTTTCTAGAGTCTTGCCTTACTTAGTGGCAAATTGACTATATAATTTGGGAAGATGCCATTTCTGAAAGGCATCAACAATTTCTTTCCTTTAAGAACTATCAGGCCCACTTCCTCTTCAAACAACCAAAAGCATTTGAGTGGAATTTTAGTTTTTATTTAAAAGCTTCTTTTAATGGGCTTTGAAACTCTTCAATAACTACCCACAAATCTCAAATCTCAACTGCCATTGCCTAGATGGTATGAGCATTAGAGCTAACTGGTTAAACCAGTCTTTCAGAGTCAGTCCCATCTCCCCGCCTCCCCTGCCCTCGAACATGTTCTGAGACAAAGGTGAGTTCAGCTGGGAGGTTGAGTCATTTCCCTGTCATTCCTCTGTACTTCCTCTCCAGTGAC